ACATGGCTCCCTCATCTCTTTGAGGTCTCAAATGTCACCTCCTTAGAGAAGCCTTCCCCGACCACCATCAAGTAGCATCTCTCTCCGCAGGTCCCGCTCTACTTGTCTCCACAGATTGTATCATGACCTGACAAGTAACGGGTCAACGCAATTTCAGTCTAGCGTCCTCAATGGCCATTCCTACTCCCTGGGTGGTTCTCCCTGGAGGAAGCGCGGTCCGCGAAGATGGAATTGGGGGAGCAGAGGGCTGTGGAGTTCATGCTGTGCCTCCCAGGAACTCCTCACACATCCATACCAGCTTGTGGCACCTCCGCACGACCCCACCCCCATGCTCTTGAAGGTGCTCTCTTTTTTTTTTTTTTTTTTTTTTTTTTTGAGACGGAGTCTCACTGTGTCGCCCAGGCTGGAGTACATTGGCTCTATCTCGGCTCACTGCAAGCTCCACCTCCCGGGTTCACGCCATTCTCCTGCCTCAGCCTCCCGAGTAGCTGGGACTATAGGCACCCGCCACCACGCCCGGCTAATTTTTGTATTTTTTAGTAGAGACGGGGTTTCATCATGTTAGCCAGGATGGTCTCGATCTCCTGAACTCGTGATCTGCCCTCCTCGGCCTCCCAAAGTGCTGGGATTACAGGTGTGAGCCACTGCGCCCGGCCGCTCTGTCTCTTCCTTCAACAGGGCACGTTGGACCAGGGTGGTATCTGAATATAGTATCTAGGGAACACTGTGTAGGGGAAAATAGGTACTAGAAGTTGGTAAATACGGCAAATCTAAAATCACAGGGATTAGGCCAGGCACAGTGGCTCATGTCTGTAATCTCAGCACTTTGGGAGGCCGAGGCAGGTGGATTGCCTGAGGTCAGGTGTTCGAGACCACCCTGGCCAACATGGGGAAACCCTGTCTCTACTAAAAATACAAAATTAGCCGGGCGTGGTGGCGTGTGCCTGTAATGCCAGCTACTTGGGAGGCTGAGGCAGGAGAATCACTTGAACCCAGGAGTCAGGGGTTGCAGTGAGCTGAGATTGTGTCACTGCACTCCAGCGTGGGCAAAAATAGTGAAACTCCATCTCAAATAAATAAATAAATAAAATAAAGTAAAACCACAGAGATTAAGTGGCCCACCCCTTGGGCCAGTCATGTGGCCTGTGGTTAGTAATTGTAAAGGTGAAACTGCCTACTGGGCAATTCCGATTGCCGGAGAGATGGTTTGGGAGGGATTAATGAGAAGGCTGCACGCTGCCACCAGAGGGCAGCTTCGGCATCCAGTGCTGTGAGAGTTCACAGAATCCTAGGTCCAGTTCCTCCTTACCTTATCTGTCAATCCTTACATTTCAGAAGCTCAGAAATATTTTGACTAATTCCTCCTCCACGGGCTCAGCCGACTCTAACCTCCCCGGGAGCTTTCCTCTTTCTACAGCAGGAGGGGTTCATGGCAAATTCTTATCACCCCTCCCTATTGCTGCTTCGCCACTGAACAGGAGCTCATGGCCGACCAACCTGCCCACACCAAACACACCTTCCAGCGGCGCTGTCCCGGGCGTGCCAGCTCCGCGGGAAACTCTCCCTAGCAGATGGAGCCCGACGCCTGCGCACTGGAGAGCCGCCAGACGCCTGCGCACTGGAGAGGCGCCAGCCCCCTGCGCCTGCGCACTCCGACTAGGAGGGGGTCTCCTCGAAAAGAGCTGGCGGAAGGGTTCAGAGGACCGACGCCGACCACGCCCACGACCACGCCCCCAGCCCTGCCAGTTCTCGGCAGAGCGGGTCTGACCCCGTTCTTTCTGCTCTTTTTCTGACATGTCTGTAAACTAGGGTAAGCATTTCACGCATTCATCCTTTCACCCGGTACTGCCTGAGCACCACCTGTGTGTCGAGGGCTGGACTGGGCAAAGTTCGGGTCTCTGTGGTCCCTGATTCTGAATGACTCTAGGGCTGGTGCTGGGATGTTCAGCTACTCATTAGCTTGCTCAGCTTTTCTTGAGGACCTACTGTGTGCTGGGACAGGGGCTGAGCAAAGTTTGGGTCACAGGAAGAAACCAGAATGCATGGTCCCTGAACCTATGGGTTCCAAGGCTGGTGCTGAGGATGTTCACGTGTTCATCCATTTACTTGGCCTCCCTTGAGGACCTACTGTGTGCTTGGCCTGGGCTGGGGGATGTTGGCGGGGTTGGGGGATAAGGAAAAACTAAATGTGTCCCTGAATGACTATGGGACTGGTGTTGGGGATGTATAACTATTCATACAGTCACTGACAATTCTTGAGGACCTACTGTGTGCTGAGGCCTGGGTGGTCAGTCAGGAGCCAAGGGAAGAACCAACTGCTTGGTCCCTGGTCCTAAAGAGCACAGGGCCAATTCAGGTTTTTTTTTTTCACCTATTCAATCAGCCTGACATTTCCTGAGGACCTACTCTGTGCCCAGGCCTGTGCAGGCAATGCCAGGACGGGTCAAAAGGTATAATGACTCCCTTCTTTCTTCTGCCAGGTCCCTCACTGCTTCTTTGGTGGGGCTGAGAGTTAAGGGAGCTGGCAGGTAGGGAGCCAGATGTGTCTATACCTGTGTGTGTCCTGTGTGTCTCTGCACTAGGGTCTCTGAGTGCCCCCCCGAACAAGTTACACATATTAAAGACTATCTGGGTTTGTTATTTTCAAGGCTTGAAACATAATTTTCAGATAAATTACATCACTTTTTCAAATTTTGTTTATGGGGGCAAGGAAATTTGAATGTGGATTAGACACTGGATGATACAAAAATTGTTAATTTTGTTATGTGTGATAATGGTATTGTGGTTGTATAGCAAGATACTTTTTCTTGGAGATGTAAGCTAAAGTATTTAGTAATGAAGGGAGATCACATCTGTAATTTACTTTTAAATAGACCAGGAAAATATATTTTCATGACCTATTTTAAAAGTAAATATATACTATAAAATCTGGTAAATGTTTTATTAAAATGTTTTAGGTATTGTATTTTTATTAAATTTATTTTAAGGATTGAATCTGGGTGGGTATATATGTATGGGTATTACTTGTACTTTATACTTTTCTGTGTAATTGAAAAATCTCATAAGAAACCTTAGGATGTTCTTTTTTATGCAGAGGGGGGCCTATGTTGTCCTGTGACCCAGGAAGATTTGTTGTAAGAAAAGCATTCTTATAGCTGAAAAATATTTTTGTCAGGGATTTTTTTTTTTCCTGGAGCCAAACAAGTCATAGTGGGAAGACTGAAACAATCGTAAGTGATTCTATTTTATAAGAAATCTTATGCCCAAACTTCGTTAAAGGAATAGCATCTACCCATTTGTTTACTAATACAAAGTATATTGGTAAACATCGTTAAAAAGAGCTAGGTAGAAAAATCTGCATATCATATGCTACCATTTGTGAAGAAAGCTGTACTATATATCTTTCCAGAATATTCTATGCATATAAATATTCACATATATGCTTACATATAGTAAGTGGTTGCTTCTAGTGAGGGGGGACTTGGTAGCTGGGAGACACAGGAATAAGAACGGTATTTTTTTTTTAACTTTATAAATTGTGGACTACACGAATGTATTACCCCATAAAATAATCTTCCAATGATTATAGTCATGTGAAGTTATGAGATTATAACTTTCATTTCACCACTGTAGTAGGTGGATTATGTTCCTAACTCCTACTTTTCACCTTTCCCTGTGACCACACACTTGGGAAGGCTCTTCCTGTGCTGCTTCTAGGCTTGGCTAGGAGGCTTGCTTTGGCCTGTGGGACTAGATGCAAATGTGACAATATCAGAGGCTTGAAAGCGTGCCTGTGTGTCCACTCCCTCTCAGACTCCTGCCACCTCCCTGAGAACACACCCAGGTGAGATGTGAGTCAGGAGAAGATCAAATAGGCCCAGCTGAGCCCTCCTGGTCCAGGTCCAGATCAAGCCTGGTCCAGACCAACAGAACCAGCAACTGACCTGTAGATGCATGAGAAATAGTCAATGGAGAAATGAGGGCTGGATGATTTGTTACACAGCAAGTGCTGACTGATACAAGCATTAAAGTCAGGTCTTTGAGGTAGGGGGAAAAATGCTGGAGGTGGGTAGGTGTTTCCTCATACCGAAAAAAAGACTAGGCCCACTCTAAAAATCTTTTGTAGAGGAGAGGCACTCCCTTCTTCTAGAATAACTTCCAGTTCTAGATTTCTCCTGCTCATTTTCTCTAAGCACTGTTTCTATCTTAGTGAATCCAGATTCCTTCTTTAGACTCTGCTCCTTTAGTAAATATGCCAAGTTGGCCACAGGAACCAAACCTTTTATTCGCTTTAACTGAATTAAATTTACTGAGCAAGTGCTTACTCAATAATAAAATCCACAATGAAAAGGCCAGCTGGCCAGGCACGGTGGCTCAGGCCTGCACTTTGGGAGGCCAAGGCGGGCGGATCGCCTGAGGTTAGGAGTTTGAGACCAGCCTGGCCAACACGGTGAAACCCTGCCTCTACTAAAAGTACAAAAATTAGGTCGGGTGTATTGGCTCACACCTGTAATCCCAGCACTTTGGGAGGCCGAAGCGGGTGGATAACGAGGTCAAGAGATCGAGACCATCCTAGCCAACATGGTGAAACCCCGCCTCTACTAAAATATAAAAAATTAGTCCAGGTGTGGTGGCGCATGCCTGTAGTCCCAGCTACTTGGGAGGCTGAGGCAGGGGAATCGTTGAACCCGGGAGGCGGAGGTTGCAGTGAGCCGAGATTGCGTCACTGCCCTCCAGCCTGGGTGACAGAGCGAGACTCCGCCTCAAAACAAACAAACAAAATTCGCCAGGCGCCTGTAATTTCAACTCCTCGGGAGACTGAGGCAGGAGAATCGCTTGAACCCGGGAGGCGGAGGTGGCAGTGAGCCGAGATCACACCACTGCACTCTAGCCTGAGTGACAGAGCGAGACGGTCTCGGAAAAAAAAAAAAAAAAAAAAAAAAGGAAGGAAGGAAGGGAGGGAGGGAAGGAAGGAAAGAAAGAAGAAAGGGCCAGCCATAGGTGTTTCTGCAGGTCTACTTGCCTGTGCCCCATTTATAATTTTGCACCAGGGAGACCCCAGGGGAGTCTGGCAGATACAGACTGAGGTATCTGGGACTGAGGTACAGTCCCAGCCCTGTGTCTTCCCCACTGTGTGCCCTCAGGCAAGTGAACAAGCTTCTCTGAGCCTCGGTTTCCTCACAGGAAGCATTGGGGATAACACAGTATCTCCCCCACAGCATTGTGAGGTAGGAAAGGAGGCATGCAGTAGTGCAGCGCCTGGTGTACACGGCCCCAGTTAACCTCAGCTCTTAATCCGCTTCTGGTCCACGCGGATTTCTGCTAGGGCACCCCTGTTAACAGGCTTCTCCCTGTGAGAGCCCAGGTGTTGAGTCAGGCGTAGGAGCTGGGCAAAGGCGTCCCGCACTGTCTGCATGCGTCCTCTGGTGTCGGATGAGAGCGGAGGAGAAGCTGAAGGCCTTCCCGCAGCCGCTGCACTCGTAGGGCTTCTCCCCGGTGTGCACGATGTGGTGCTGGATCAGGTAGGAGCGGTTGCTGAAGGCCTTGCCGCACTCGGGGCAGGCGTAGGGCCGCTCGCCCGTGTGCGTGCGCTGGTGCAGGGTGAGCGAGGAGCCCTGGCTGAAGGCCTTGCCGCACTCGCTGCACTTGTAGGGCCGCTCCCCGGTGTGGATCTTCTGGTGCTCGATGAGCGAGGACACGTGGCTGAAGGCGGCCCCGCACTGCAGGCACCTGTAGGGCCGCTCACCGGTGTGCACGAGGCGGTGCTGGAGGAGGTGGGAGCGGTTGCTGAAGCTCTTGCCGCAGTCGTGGCAGGGGTAGGGCCGCTCTCCGGTGTGCGTGCGCTGGTGCTGCGTCAGGTGCGACACCTGGGTGAAGGCCTTGGCGCACTGGCCGCACGCGTAGGGCTTCTCGCCCGTGTGGATGCGCCGGTGCTCGGCCAGAGAGGCGCTCTGGCTGAAGAGCGCGCCGCAGTCCTGGCACGTGTAGGGCTTCTCGCCCGTGTGCACGCGCCGGTGCTGGGTCAGGTGCGCGATCTGCGTGAAGGCCTTGGCGCACTGGCCGCAGCTGTAGGGCTTCTCTTCCGTGTGGATGCGCTGGTGGCGGATGAGCGCCGAGGAGAAGCGGAAGGTCTTGGCGCACGCGGCGCACTCGTAGGGCTTCTCGCCGGTGTGGATGCGCTGGTGCTCGATCAGGGAGGAGCGGTTGCGGAACGCCTTGGCGCACTGGGCGCAAGCGTAGGGCCGCTCGCCCGTGTGCACGCGCCGGTGCTGGGTCAGGTGCGTGACGCGCGTGAAGGCCTTGCCGCAGTCGGCGCAGCGGTGCGGCTTCTCGCCCGTGTGCGTGCGCCAGTGGGACGCCAGGTACGAGCCCTGGCTGAAGGCCTTGCCACACTCGTGGCACGCGTAGGGCTTCTCGCCCGTGTGCGTGCGCTGGTGCAGGGTCAGGTGCACGCTCTGGCTGAAGGCCTTGCCGCACTCGGGGCACGCGAACGGCTTCTCCCCGGTGTGGATTCGCTGGTGCAGGATGAACGCCGAACAGTAGCTGAAGGCCTTCCCGCAGTCCCCGCATTTCCACGGCTTCTTGGGGCCGCCACCTCTCTCCCGCTGGCGGCTGTCAGGATGCCTCTGCTTCGGGCTCTTCCCGGGCGCACTGCACCTCTGGGGCCTGCTGTCATCGGGGACACTGGCTTGGGTAGCAGCAGGGTTCGATATGGTTCTTGGGATTCGGCTGAATTCATCGCGTTCCCGGATGTCGTCCCCGGCAGGGTCTCCCTTGCAGGCCACGGCCTCTGGCGCTGGACAGCTTTCCCGGTTTTCCTGCAGGTCCTCAAGCCGGCCCTCGCGTTTCCAGTTTCCTTCCAACTCTGCGCCCTGGAGGGCGACGCCCAAGAGTCCTTCCATCCTCGATCCCTGGGCTGCTGTCAATCTCACATCTCTTCTCTGGGTCTGAAAGGCAAAAGATAGGAAAAAAAAAAAAAAAAAAAAAATTAAACATTGTCACTTGTCCTGAGCTGGAAAAATGGCTAACAGCTGAACTGGGAAGGACTTAGCATGGGGTCCCTGGACCTCTGTGCCAATGACATTTTGAGTCCAATAATTCGGTGTGGTAGGACCCATCCTGTGGGTTGTGAGATGTTGAGCAGCGTCCCTGGTCTCTCCACACTGGATGCCAGGGACACTACCCCTCAATCCCCGAGTTGTAACAACGGACGTGGTGGCTCATGCCTGTAATCCCAGCACTTTGGGAGGCCAAGGCAGGTGGTTGCTTGAACCCAGGAGTTTGAGACCAGCAAACTGTCTCAAACTGTCTGCTGCCTGGGCAACACAGCAAGATCTCATCTCTACAAATGAAAAAAAAAATTAGCCAGGCATGGTGTTGTGCACCTGTGGTCCCAGCTACTCAGGAGGCTGAGGCAAGAGGATCACCTGAGCTTAGGGGGTTGGGGCTGCAGTGAGTGGTGATCACACTGCTGCCCTCTAGCCTGGGTGACAGTGTGAGACCCTGTCTGAATTTTTTTTTAAAGCCTCCAGACACTGCCAGGTGTCCCCTCCCCTGGGGACAAAATTGCCCCCAGTTAGGAATCACTGATTTAATGGAACTAAAAACAAATTTAAAACATCCCTGAAATTAAAAGAAAAAAAAGCATGAATCTGTCAGCTCTTAAAATACGGCCTTGTAATCTGGTGCTGTGTACTGAATTGTACCCCCTCAAAATTTATACATGGAAGCCCTAACTCCCAAGGTGATGCTTTTTGGAGATGGTGCCTTTGGGAGGTGATTAGGTTTAGAAGGGGTCATGAGGGTGGGGCCCCCACAATGGGACTAATTTTTTTTTTTTTTTTTTGACATGGAGTCTTGCTCTGTTGCCCAGACTGGAGTGCAGTGGCGCAGTCTTGGCTCACTGCAACCTCTGCCTCCAGGGTTCAAGCAATTCTTCTGCCTCAGCCTCCAGAGTAGCTGGGACTACAGGCGCATGCCACCATGCCTGACTAATTTTTGAATTTTTAGTAGAGACGGAGTTTCACCATATTGGCCAGGCTGGTCTCAAACTCCTGACCTCGTGTTCCACCTGCCTTGACCTCCCAAAGTGCTGGGATTACAGGTGTGAGCCACTGCGCTTGGCAGGAACTAATGCTTTGTTAAGAAGAGGAAGCGACACCAGAGCTCGCTGTCAGGTGAACACATGGCAAGAAGGCAGCCAGCCGTCTGCAAGCCAGGAAGTGAGCCCTCAGCGTGGCCTGACCATGCTGGCACCCTGATCTCGGACTCCCGTCCTCTAGCACTGTGAAGAAATAAGTGTTTCTTGCTTCAGCCACCTAATCTGTGATGTGTTTGTTTGTTTGTAAGCCAGAGCTAAGATACCTGGAAAGACAGTTTTCTTTTCTGGGGAAAAAATCAGTTGAAACTTTAATTCCCAGTGTGACAGTGTTTGATGTGGGGCCTTTGGAGGATGAATAGGTCATGAGGGCACCCTTCTTAATAGGATTAGTGTCCTTATAAGAGGAGACTCCAGGGGGCTCACTTACTCTCTGCTCTCTCTGCCTTCTCTGCGTGTGAGGACACAGGGAGAAGGCGGCCGTCTGTAAACCAGGAAGAGAGCCCTCACCACACAGAATCAGCCAACAGCAATCCCGGATTTCACATTATGGGGGACACTATTCAACTCACTATGCCCCCCTTCTACAGGGCTCTGGCAGTGAAGGAGCTGCCCAGGGTCTCCCAGGCTCAGAGGTTCAAGCTGGCCCCTGGGCCCAGGGTCCTCATTAGAGATGGTGACCTCAAGCTGTGGTAGGTTACCCTGTCTGTGCTTTCCACATTCTCAGAGGAAAACAGGGATCTGTTTTTATATAAGCCCAGGAAATCACTGTGCTTTTTAGAAAGCCATAACAGAAGCCATACATTTAGTTACTTCTAGTGGGGCTGTGATGCTGAAGGATTTATACCAATTGCCTGGTGTACACTGGACCTGCACACTGGACAAAAACTCACCACTGACTTCTGATACTTTAGTTCTAACAGAATGGGAAGACAGACGGACAAATGACCTCCTGTTACTGAGAGAGGGAAGGAGGCAGCTGCCTGTGGATCCACTGTGCTGGGGCTAGCCCCAGAGGAGGGGGCTCACACTGCTGCGGGGGGTGGGGGGGAGCATTTCCAGGCTGTGTGGCTGCAGGTAAGTGGCTACCTGCTCTGAGGTTCTGCCTGGTTTTCTCTCTCTAAACAGGGCTCCAGCCTCCCCTTCTCCTGAGGGCCATGGTGGGGCTCTCAGGAAGCTTGGTCTCATGTTAAGTGTGGGCTCAGCCCCTCACACACAGGCATTCCCTGAACTAACTCGTAGGCTGTGTGCATACAGCAGACAGTGCTGGGCCTTGAGCTCTGCCCTCTGGGATGGGGGGCTGAGTGGAGGCCTCTCTGGCTCATCCTAGGGGAGAAGATTTACTCCCGCAAACACCGGAAAGACCCTGTTGGTTTGGATCCAGAGGGTCCAATGCCCCCCAACCCCTGCATTACATCGCTCTGTCTACAGACCCCCATCAACGCCTCCATGCTGCTCCCTGCTGTGCCCAAAGTTGTATTCACAGCCTCTGAGCTCTCCTCGAGTCCCCATCCCAGCAGAGATAGGACGACAGGGTGTGTGTGGAAAACAGAAACACACACCAGGGACAGGAAACCTGGGAAGGATGCATGGAGGGTGGGTCATACGTCCAGGCTCTCAATCTCAGAGGGATCCAGGCAACGTGATGTCCCTCTCCTCTCAATGGGCACATGGGGCAGATGCATGACCTGCAGCGGTGGGAGGTATAGGAATACCCTGTGATTTCCCTTCTCTCACCACTCAGGACAGGACTCTTCACCACTGGTCACCCACACGTGTGGGAATTTCTCTCCAGCAACAACCACTCCAGCAGAAGCCAGCTGGGCATCCCACAACTAACCTCCATTCCAACACTGTCTACCCAATATTGGTGCAGACCCCACAAGCTGAGGCTCGGTCCCACAAGCCTGCCCCATCTCAGATGGCCGTCACGAGCAGTAGGTTGTCACCTGCACTTCTGACCTATAAATCCAACGGCTGCTTCCTTGGGCTCAGTTAATTGGCTGGAGTGACTCACGGAACTCAGAGAAGCACTTACATTTACTGGTTTAATACAAAGGATCATTTAAAGGATACAGATGAAGAGCTACATAGGGCAAGGAATGGGGGAAGGGGCGTGGAGCTTCCATGGCCTCCCGGGGGGCACCCTCCAGGAACCTCCACGTGTTCAGCTGTCTGGAAGCTCCCCAAACCCTGTCCTCTTGGGTTTTTATGGCAGCTTCCTTATGTAAGCAGGATTGATTGACTCATTGGCCATAGGTGATCAGCTCAACCCTCAGGCCCTCTCCCCTCCACAGAGGTAGGCGTTGGGGTGGGGCTGAAGTCCCAACCCTCAGATCAAGTGGTTGGTTCCCCTGGCAACCACCCCCATCCTGAGGCTGTCCATGAGCCCACCGAGAGTCACCTCTTTAGAAAAAAAGGTCAAAAGACCCTCCTAGGATATTCCAAGGGATTTGGAAGCTCTGTGTCAGAAACTGGGATCAAAGACCAAATATTGGAACGAAAGCTCCTCCTAGCTCCACAATCTACAAGAGTTTCAGGAGATCTATGCTAGGGACCTGGGGCGGAGACCAAAGATAGATTCCTTGTTATATCACAGTGTCACAGAGGGCGAGTCCTGCAGCCTTGACACTTTGTCCCCGATTTCCACTCTGAATTCAGCACGGCTCCACCCTGGCCTGAAACCTCAGCGTCGCCTGGGGGCCTGTGACACACACAGAGCTCAGGCCCTCCCCGGGCCCGATTCGAATCTGCTTGGGAACAAGAGCCCGGCCATTCCCGGGCACAGGAATGTCTGCAAGGCACGGACACAGGGGTAACCGCCAGCGTGCGGGCGCAGGGCTCTGCAGCACCACCAGTTTCTCCCAGGGAGAGGTTCTGGACGCGGCCACCCCAGGGCCCACACCCAGGCCGCCTGGCCTCACCGTCCTTCCTCTCATTTGTCCTCCTGCTGATAACCCCGAATGGCTCCCTCAATAGCCAGCCTTCTCCCTGAGCCCTTGTCCTCATCCTCAGCGACGCCTTCCCTGTACTGCGCTCATGCTGCTGCAGCCACAGCCACGGCCTCCTCCGGGCACACTCCTGCTGCTGCTGGGCAGGCTATGTTTGAAGCTTGTCCTCCCCACTTCCTGTGTGAGATCCTAACCCTTTGTGGTGGTGCTGGCAGGTGGGGCCTCTGGGAGGTGATGATGACATGAGGCTGGAGCCCTCAGGCATTGGATTCCTGCCCTTACAAAAGAAGACCTGGAAGGCTCCCTTGCCCCTTCCTCCAAATGAAGACACAACAAGAGGGCCCGGTCTGTGAACCAGGAAGCAGCCCTCACCAGACACCAAACCTGCCGGCACCTTGACCTTGGACTTCCAGCCACAGAACTGTGCAGAAATAAACGCTGTTTCTTTCTTTTTCTTCTTCTTTTTTTTTTTTTTGAGACAGAGTTTTGCTCTTGGTGCCCAGGCTGGAGTGCAATGGCACGATGTTGGCTCACTGCAACCTTCGCCTTCCGGATTCAAGTGATTCTCCTGCCTCAGCCTCCTGTGTAGCTGGGATTACAGGCGTGCGCCACCATGTCTGGCTAATTTTTTTGTATTTGGTAGAGATGGGGTTTCACCATATGAGTCAGGCTGGTCTCGAACTCCTGTCCTCAGACGATCCACCCGCCTTGGCCTCCCATAGTGCTGGGATTACAGGTTTGTGCCACTGTGCCCGGCCAATAAGTGCTGTTTCTAAGCCACCAGAGTATGGCATTCTGTCACACCCCAAAATAGGGCTTTTGTTCTTTTTGTTTTTTTGAGACAGGGTCTTTCTTGCTGTGTTGCCCAGGCTGGAGTGCGGTATTGTGATCGTAGCTCGCTGTAGCCTGGGAATCCTGGGCTCAAGTGATCCTCTCACCTCAGCCTGCCAAAGGGCCTAGATCACAGGCAGGCACCACCAACCACATCTGGTCAAGACAGGGCTTTTGCTTGGGCTATTCTTTCTGCCCGACATGTTCTTCCCGCAGCGTGTGCCTCAGCAAGAGGACAAGAAGAGGCCCTGAGGCAGGGAGTGATGATGTTCAGGGTGGAGAACACAGCAAGTGCAAAGGTCCCGGGGCAGGATGGTGACAAGGGTGGTAGAGGAAAGGTAAAGGTGGTGTGGGGTTGGACACAGCAACTGAGGTGCAAGGCAGGGAAGACAAGGTAGAGTGGGGTGGGGGTCAGCTCACACAGGAAGTCACGTGTGCTGGTAAGAACTCAGCTGGTGGGGACCAGGCTGGGTCGGCTCAGGCACCACGTCCACCAGCATCCCCAGAGTGTGCAGGGGTACCCACCTCGTGTGTGGGGGGAGGGCAAGTGGGTTCACAGCGGGGTTGGGTAAACCTGGGGCATTGTGCACACACACATGGGAGCCCAAGGGGAGACACAGGCTTGCTCCGGGGCAGAAGAAGAAAGTTGTCTACTCCCAGCACTTCTGACACGTGGGCTTTCTCCACACCAACAACCAAGTCCCCAATCTGCTCTGGCTGGGAGGCACAGGCAGCCACCAGCCATAAAGCTACCTCACCCCCTCCTTGGGTTTGGTGATTTGCTCGCACAGCTCATCGAACTCAGGGACATGCTTTATTTACTCTTACTGGTTTCCAATAAAGGACACAACTCAGGAATAGCCAGATGGAAGACACACAGGGTAGGGTATGGGGAGGAGCTCAGAGCACTGTGCCCTCTCTGGGTGCTCGACAACCCCAGAGCTCGGCAAACCCTAAGTTTAGGGCGGTTATGTGGGTTCCATGATACAGGTGTGACTGACATAAGTGTGATGACACTGGCCATCGGTGATGAACTCAACTTCCAGCCCTCTCCCCTCCCAGGAGGTAGGGGCTGGCTGAAGGCTGGAATGCTCATCAGGGCTACCTCCCCTGGCAACCAGTCCATCCTAGGGGCCTACCAGGAGTCCTCCATTAGCATAAATGTACTTAGGGGTCTACTAGGAGTCCTCCATTAGCATAAATGTGCTTAGGGGTCTACCAGGAGTCCTCCATTAGCATAAATGTACTTAGGGGTCTACCAGGAGTCCTCCATTAGCATAAACACAGGTGTGATTGAAAGGGGCTCATTAAGAGCTGCAAAAGACACTCCTTTTACCCCTGTCACTCAGGAAATTCCAAGGGTTTTAGGGGCTCTGGTACCAGGAGCTGGGGATAAAGAGTAAACATATATTTCTTATTATATTACAAGATCACAGGTAGACACATGCATGATGTCACACTCTGAGACACACAGGGTCATACACAATCATACCTGCCCAGACACACACAGACATGCAGAGACACCCACACCCATATCCAGGGACACACAGTCGCCCTCCCAACCCCCATGCAAGGAGGCAGGTGGGAAGCCCTCACCTGCAGCCACACTCACACATGCACACAGGGTCCTGGGCACACGCAGCTACACACACACGCAGCTACACACACACCCAGCCCCACACATAGCATCCCTGTGTGAAGAGGTGCACAGAGAGGGACAAGGTCACACACACCACCTGCTCCACACAGGCAGGCCATCACCAGGACACACCCACAGGGGATGGCTGGACACGTGTGCAGTCACACTGGACAGAGCTCCAGCATGGCCAAAGCCCACGTGTGCAGCGTCTCCATCGTGTGTGTGTGGATGCACACACTTCAGACAGCATGGCACTCTACAGGCTCGCACGCCTAGGTCACCCATCGTTGTGCTGGCAGGCTGAGCCAGCCCACACAGTGGCACACCCAGACATGCACACGTGGGGTCACACACCTCACATCCAGGAGAACTTTCAGACTTGCCCAAAGTCAGTCACACGTGTATGTGAAATGCTGCGAATCGCAGACACCGCTTCACATGAACGAGCACATGACACACCGATAAAGTGTCACATGCCTTTACATGCAGTCACACACCTGCCTGGGCTGGCACCGCCGAGTGAGCAGGTGCAGACGCAGTGACACTCGGGGACGGGCTCACAGGCAGGCACACACCTGCACGGCCTGGCACCGCCGAGTGAGCAGGTACAGACACAGTGACGGGCTGGCACCGCCGAGTAAGCAGGTACAGACACAGTGACGGGCTGGCACCGAGTGAGCAGGTGCAGACGCAGTGACACTCAGGGACGAGCTCACAGGTAGTCACACGCCTGCACAGGCTAGCACTGCCCAGTAAGCCTGTGCAGACACAGTGATGGGCTGGCACCGAGTGAGCAGGTGCAGACACAATGACACACAGGGACGGGCTCACACGCGGCCACACACCTGCACGAACACGCGCGCACACGCACACTACCCACCGTTACTTTCGCCTCCCGGGATCGCCTCCGAACGCGCTGGCCGGCCCCCTCCCAGCCTGGTGGAGTCGGCTCCGCTTCTACTCAGTCTCGGGTCCTCCTGGGCCAACACAGACCCTGGGGCCTCCTTCCTTAGAGGAGCGAAGGTCGAGACTTCTGCCGCTGCGGAGTGGCCAGCGCTCCAGGCCCGGGTGGACTGCGCCTGCGCATCAGGCCTGCCCGGCTCTTAGGAACTACAACTCCCAGGAGGCACTGCGCGCTCGCTGGTAACGCGACTAAGGCTGGCAGAGCCTCGGTCATCGAAACTACAACTCCCAGAAGGCTAAGCGTCGGCACGCGCCGGCACGGGCCCCTGGGGGTCCCGAGGAGGGCCGGGCGGCTGCCCCGAGCCCCGCCCAGCACTGACTCAGGGGTGGGACTTTTTTCTTGCTCAGGGGATGAGGCCGAGCCCACAGGCTTAGAAAGAAGGCACCTGAGTCCGGGCGCCTGTCATCCCAGCACTTTGGGAGGCCGAGGCGGGTGGATCACCTGAGGTCAGGCGTTCGAGACCAGCCTGGCCAACATGGCGAAACCCCCGTCTCTACTAAAAATACAAAAATTAGCCGGGCATGGTGGCACGCCCCTGTAGTCCCAGCTACTGGGAAGGCTGAGGCAGGAGAATCGCTTTAACCCGGGAGGCGGGGGTTGCAGTGACCTGAGATCACACCACTGCGCTCCAGCCTGGGTGACAGAGCGAGACTTCGTATCAAAAAAAAAAAAAAAAAAAGAAGAAAGTAAGAAGCTGAGATTCAGACAGGCTAAGTCCCTACTGCAGGCTGCACAATCTAAAAAGTTTGCAACCCACACTTTTGTTTTGGTCTGAGGTAGCTGATGTCATTCCAGTCTATGGCAAAGAAGGTGGCAAATCCATTGACATAGATAAATAATTTCATTTTACTTTTTAGTTTTATTTTTTAGAAACAGTTTCGCTTTGTTGCACAGGCTGGAGTGCAGTGGTACAATCACAGCTCACTGCAACCTCAACCTCCCCAGTTCTAGTGATCCTCCCATCTCAGCCTCCCGAGTAGCTGTAGCTGAGATCTTAGGCGTGTGCCACCACACTGGCTAATTGTTTTAACTTTTATTTTTTGCAGAGATGAGGCGTCGCTATGTTGCCCAGGCTAGTCTCGAACTCCAATCCTTCCACCTTGGCCTTCGATAATTTTAATATTAACAGTTGACGTGCACATGGCATTTACTATTGTCCAGCATTATTTTAAGGTGACTTCCCTGAAGGAATTCTGTTAGCCTTCCTAAATTATTCCTTGGCCATTAAAAAAATAGGCATGAGATCATTTTTAGATAATTGGAAAAGCAGAGGAATCTGTGAAGAGAGAATAGGAAAAAAAAATGCATTTCACCAAACCAACATGCCATTGATTGTGAGATACCACATTACTTTATATAGCCCCAAAGCTGCCCGTAAACCATGACACATGCTGTCTTTACAGTTCATATTTTATTTATTTGTAGACCTCAAGAGGCATTGTGTGCTTCCCTCTTCCTTCTGGAAGCTTCATGAGAAGGGACATTTTCCTCAAAGGATGGACAACAGAAACAACTCAAATATTCATTTCCTTTAAATATGGTTTTTAAGACAATTTTCTTTAGAAAGCCACATTTACCTGTTGGGGGTCGATTTATGCTCCGCCCCTCCCAAATATATGTGGGAATCCTAACTCCTGATTCCTCAGAATGTGACTTTATTTGGAGAATAGTTCTTTACAGGGTAATAAAGTTAAAATGAGAAGTAAGGTGGGCCGTAACCCAACATGACAGCTGTCCTTATAAGAAGGGTGAATTTGCATGCAGAGACACGCATAGAGAGAACGTGATGTGAAGAGGCACAGGGAGAAGGCCGCCATCTACAAGCCAAGGAGAGAGGCCTGGAGCAAGTTCTTCATGGCTCTCAAAAGGAACCAGCCCTGCCTACACCCTGATTTCAGATTTCCAGCCTCCAGAAGCGTGAGGCAATAAATGTCTGTTGCTGCAGCCACAGGTGGGGGGTGCTTTGCTACAGTAGCCTTAGCACCTGACAGATGGTCTCTTTACATGCCAAGCACATTGCAGCACACATTTGACACACGGGGAGATAGAAGCTCCTGGAGGATAAGTAATTAATCTGTGATTTTGACAGTTGCAAGTGGAGGAACTGGGATTCGAACCCCTGTCTGCGTGATGCCTGTGCCTCCTCTGTATTAACATTTATTTTTACTTATTTTTAGTTTTAGTTTTTGTAGAGATGGGGGTCTTGCTATATTGCCCAGGCTGATCTTGAACTCCTGGGCCCAAACGATCCTCCTGCCTTGGTCTCCTGGTGTTGGGGTTACAAGCATGAGCCACTGCACCAGGCCTGCACGTCCTCTTTACAGCACTTTGCCTCTTTCATTTCCTAGCCTGGAGAAGATGTACTTCTGTGGTCACTAAGAAAACACCTTCACAATCAGGCAAAAATGTCCCTAGAAAATGCTGGCGCGGACTGCTGAGGAAGTGCACCGTCAAATCGGGCCATGCACTGTCATTTCAGAGACCCTGAGGCAGGGACTCCATGTCCCAGTCATTTTTGTCACACATCAGTAGGCAGCCCCTGCCCAGGCTGGAAGATTCTAGACCCAGCTATAGGCTCTGGCAACCAGGGCAGGCAGCTCCTTCCAGGAACCCCAGGTTTCTGTGGTTTTCTTGGGTCATTTCCATTAAGCCTTAAACACCCTCTGGAAGAAAGTGAAGATGTGACGTTGAGGAACGTGAGGTGAGATGGCGGGTGAGTAGTTTTCTAGAGCCACCATAACAAAGCACCCACACCAGGGTCTTAAACGATGGAAACTTATTTCTTCACCGTTCTCAAAGATGGACGTTCACGGTCAAGGTATGGCCAAGGTTGGTTTCCCCTGAGGCCTCTCTCCTTGGCTCGCAGATGACCATCTTCCCCCTGTCTTCGTATGGTCTTCCCTCTGGGTGTCTGTGTCATAATTTCTCTCACACTCTTTTTTCTTTTTTGAAAGAATGTCAGCCATGGGCCCAGCGTGGTGGCCCACACCTGTAATCCCAGTATCTTGGGAGGCCGAGGCGGGTGGATTGCCTGAGGTCAGGAGTTCCAGACCAGCCTGGCCAACATGGCGAAACACCATCTCTACTAAACAAATATAAAAATTAGCCAGGCAAGGTGGCAAACACCTGTAGTCCCAGCTACTCAGGAGGCTGAGGCGGCTGAATAGCTTGAACCCGGGAGGTGGATGTTGCAGTGAGTCAAGATCGTGCCACTGCAGTCCAGCCTGGGCAACAGAGTGAGACTCCATCTCAAAACAAACAAACAAACAACAACAAAAAGAATGTCAGTCGTATTGGACTTGGGACCCACCCTAATGACCTCATTTTATCTTAATTCCCTTTCTCCATCTCCAAGTACAGTCACATTCCAAGGGATGGGGGTTTAAGACGTCAACATACAAATTTGGTGTTCAGCAACGTATACATTTGGTGGGGGCACGATTTGGCTCATCACAACGGGTAAATTGCATTTATGAGGCATTAAGCTCACATCCTGTGGGTTGAAATACTCTGAATTTTATGCTGCATTATCATTATAACTGGCTTATCTCTGGCTTAGCATCACAATCATGATCTTGCTTCTGAATGTTTGGTGTCCACCTGGCCTCCACTGAAAGATCCTGTTATTCCCACCAAGCTCATGGAATCCAATTTCCTCGTGGCGTTTTCTCCGTCCTACAATGGACAGCAGCCTCAGGGCTCTTCGCCGATCCAGGAGCCTCTTCACCTTACAGTGTTGGTGAGGCAAGTCTCCCACGGGCCCTCCAGGGGTGTGTTTAAGGGCAGCTGGGCAGTTTGCCTGCATAAACCAGTGTCTACATCCACATTGCCTTAAGCTTCCAGACTCCCCCCTCTACGGTGTGCTAGGTAATGGCTGGGATTTTGACCTCAAGGGGGTTGCCAGTCCATTCCGGCTGCTATCACGAAACAGCATAAATGGAGCAGCTTATAACAAGCAGAACAGGTGCTTTATTTATTTATTTAAGCAGAGATGAGGTCTCCCTATGTTACCCATTCCGATCGCAAACTCCTGGGCTCAAGAAGTCCTCCTTTCTTGGCATCCCAAAGCGCTGGGATTACAGGCATGAGCCACTGTAAAAGAATCATTCTGGCCTTGAAAAGAATCATTCTGAAGGCTAGAAAGCCTAAGATGAAAGTGCCAGGAGATTCAGTGTCTGATGAGAGCCCGATTCCTTGTTCATAGATGGCACCTTCTTGCTGGCTGTGTCCTCACAGGGTGGAAGGGAGAAAAGAGCTTTCTTGGGCCTCTTAGAATGACGCTAATCCCATTCATGAGGGCTCCGCCGAATCACCTCCTCAAAATCTCACCTCCCAACACCGTCACCTTGGTGATTAAGTTTCTACATAAAAGTTTTTTTGGGGAGGTGACACAAATATTCAGACCTGGCAGAGGTGGAGTGGCCTGCAGACCACTGTTGATTCAGACTTCACAGTGCCAACATTGGAGATTCTTTTTTTTTTCTTTTTTTTTTTGAGACAGAGTCTCGCTGTGTCTGCCAGTCTGGAGTGCAATGGCACCATCTTGGCTCACTGCAACCTCCACCTCCTGGGCTCAAGCAATTCTTCTGCCTCAGCCTCCCAAGTAGCTGGGGTTACAGGCACCCGCCACCACCCCCGGCTAATTTTTGTATTTTTAGTAGAGACGGGGTTTCACCATGATGGCCAGGTTGCTCTCAAACTCCTTACCTCAGGGGATCCACCCTGCTCAGCCTCCCAAAGTACTGGGAGGACAGGCCTGAGCCACCGCGCCCAGTCCTGGCCCCTTGATCTAGGATTTCAGCCTCCAGAACTGGGAGAGAATAAGTTTCTGTTGTTTGAGTGACACAGTCTGTGGTACTTTGTTATGGCAGCCAAGCTCACTGATAAAGAGACTAAACAACCGCCATGCTTCATTTACTTAATCAGCTGTGGGTCGGCACTGTGGGTTGGGTTTAACCAAGTAGTTCTTCTGTCTTGGCTGGACCCACTCATGCATCTGTGCCGAGCTGGGTTGAGTGGCAGCTGGCCCATCTGTAGCCTCTCATCCTCCATCAGGACAGCCTAGGGTCATCTCCATGGCAGCCGGGCAGGGTTCCAAGAGAGTTAGTAGGAACCGTCAAACCCCTTGAGCACAAGGC